TGGACAGGCGGCTAGGTTTCTAGTCCTAAGCATGACTTCTAGTCCACCGAGTGGACCTCAATTCCAATTAGATAACTGTTGGTTACTGCCAAGATAGTCATGCCACGGGCAGACATTTAGAAAAATCTTGCTGTGATGGTCATTGTGATCCATAGGCATCAGGTAGCTGGCACCCTCTGGCGCTATAAATCCTCGCCCTCAGGGAGGAGACTCTCAAGTCAGTGCCAGGTTGATCTTCTGAGTCCTGTGTCTGAAGCATGCAGTGTCCTAGCAATAGGGACTTACCTGCAGCCTGTGAGGGCAACAGAAATAGTTTACTGTTTTAGGAGTCACTTGGGCCTCTCTGACCAACAACTTGAATAGATGTTTCTCATGTCTGGTACTGGGGCTTATATATATGTGTGTGTGTATATGTGTGTGCTATATAATTACATACATGTATAGATATACATATATTTATATGTATTATATTTAATTTTAAGAAATATAAAATAGTATGATTCCTTGATACTTTATCAAATATCCTTAATGTTATTTATCCCTCTACCCTCCCCTTTTTCCTCTTTCTGAATTGACTTCCCTTCTTTTCAAAATTCAACCTCCCTCCCTGTTTTTCCAGCTTCCCAGTTACTATCACCTGTGTTCTGCTCTCCCCCTCCCTAGTTCCCTCCATGCTACCTTTTTACCTAACTGATTTCTGTGGTTCCTGTAGGTTACATGCCTACACCTCAAATTTTGGAGCGAGGAACTGAATGAGAGAGAACAAATGTTTGTCTTTCGGCGTCTGTGCTAACTAATACACTCAGTGCGTTTTCTATTTCCACCCATTTACCTACAAATTTCATTTTTCTTTGGAACTGAATAGTTTTCTATACCATTTCTGTACTACATTTTCAGTATCCATTCATCAGCTGGGAAATATTTAAGTTGTTTTGAATTCCTAGTTATTGTGAATAGAGTGATGAAGAAAAGGGCTGAGCAAGCATCTGTGGAGTAGGATATTGAGTTTTTTGGCATATGTCAAAGAGTAGTATGATAGATCATATGGTAGACTTATTTGTAGCTTTTTGAGGATTACCCACACTGGTTTCCAAAGAGGCTGCCCCAGTTTGTAACGATGAATGAGGACTCCCTTTCCCCCTTCACTCTTCTAGCATTTATCATCAGCTGTCTTGTTAATTTTAGCCATTCTGATTGTGATAAGATTAAATGTCAATTTTTAAATTTTTTTAAAAATTTGCATTTCTGTAATTTCTAAGGCAATAAATACTTTTGAAACATTTCTTGGCCATTTTTACTTTTTTTTTAAATTGAGAATTCTCTTTTTAGATTCATACTCATTTTTAATTGTGCAATTTGTTTTCTTGACTTTTTTTTTTAGTTCTTTATATGTTCTGGATACTAATCCTCTGTTAGACATATGGCTGGCAAAAACTCTCTGCCACTTCATGAGCTTGCTCTTCATTCAATTTTGGCTGTACCAAAGATTTTGTTTTATGATGTCCCCATTTTCCAATTGTTGGTGTTAGTTCCTGGGCAACTGGAGCCCTGCTCAGAAAGGCCACTTCCTACACCTGTATCCTTGATGGTACTGCCTATGGGTTTTTTTTCCTAGCAGTTTTATCAGTTCAGCTTTCAAATTGAGTTTGGAGAGGCAATTGTATTCACACTAAGGCTAGACAAAAACTGTTAGTTCAGGTTATGTTGCTCTGACAGGGAACTGCTGTACATTTCAGACAGTCTACACAGGTACCCAATAACCCTTGGCTGCTTAAAAGATGTTTGGTTATAGTCTGTGAATATATTGAACAATGGCTGTTATAGATTTTGCTGGTTTTGTCAGGCATCAGCCGAATTTCCAGTTCTGAAAGTAGCCTTGTGCTGATTGTGGTAGATTTTTGTTTTGTTGTTTGTTTTTTGCTTTTTTGTTTGTTTTGTTTTGGTATGGTTTGGTTGTTGAGACAGGCTTTCTCTGTGTATCCATGACTGTCCTGGATCTGTAGATCAGGCTAGCCTCGAACTCAGAAATACACTGGCCTCTGCCTTCCTAGTGCTGGGATTAAAGGCTGCTTTCTGGGAGTAAAATCATCTGTCACATCCTCCCAGCTGTTGTGGTAGTAGATTTCTCTTTTCTTTTCTTTTCTTTTCTTTTCTTTTCTTTTCTTTTCTTTTCTTTTCTTTTCTTTCTTTCTTTCTTTCTTTCTTTCTTTCTTTCTTTCTTTCTTTCTTTCTT